CTGCCTCTTTGCAGTATATTTTTGTATGGTTTTTATGGTTGTATTCTCATTTTTTTCAACTCATTTGATAGAATGGAAGATATATTACAGAAATAGACATGATTTTGAGTGCTTTCATGACGAAAAGTACCTTGAAATTGAGCTCAAAGTAGCGGAAATGTTCAATTTTTGCCGATGTTCAATGAACTGTGTAAGTTGGTTAGTTTTATTATGTGTATTCTAACCTAACCACTCTGTAATTCGGCAAACTCAGTAATCCGGCACACTACAGGTCCCAATGATGCCGGATTTGTGAAGGAGGATGCTTGTACATGTATGTGTAGTGCGAGTTAAGTGTAAGTAGAAGTAGCAAGATGTACCTGAAATCTTGCATGTTTAAGAGACAGAAAAAAGGACACCAGCAATCCTACAATCATGTAAAACAATTACAGGCTTTCATTTTACACTCACTTGGCAGAATGGTAGTATTTCCCTGGGCGGTTGCTGTCTACCAACCTACTACCTAATAATAAATCTATCTTACCAAAAAAAAAAAAAAAAAAAGTGAGACCTTCATTTTTTTTTTCAACAAGTCGGTCGTCTCCCACCGAGGCAGGGTGACCCAAAAAAGAAAGAAAATCCCCAAAAAGGAAATACTTTCATCATCATTCAACACTTTCACCACACTCACACATTATCACTGTTTTTGCATAGGTGCTCAGAATACAACAGTTTAGAAGCATACACATATAAAGATACACAACATATCCCTCCAAACTGCCAATATCCCAAACCCCTCCTTTAAAGTGCAGGCATTGTACTTCCCATTTCCAGGACTCAAGTCCGGCTATATGAAAATAACCGGTTTCCCTGAATCCCTTCACTAAATATTACCCTGCTCACACTCCAACAGATCGTCAGGTCCCAAGTACCATTCGTCTCCATTCACTCCTATCTAACACGCTCACGCACGCTTGCTGGAAGTCCAAGCCCCTTGCCCACAAAACCTCCTTTACCCCCTCTCTCCAACCCTTTCGAGAACGACCCCTACCCCGCCTTCCTTCCCCTATAGATTTACATATATGCTTTCCATGTCATTCTACTTTGATCCATTCTCTCTAAATGACCAAACCACCTCAACAACCCCTCTTCTGCCCTCTGACTAATACTCTTATTAACTCCACACCTTTTCCTAATTTCCACACTCCGAATTTTCTGCATAATATTTACACCACACATTGCCCTTAAACAGGACATCTCCACTGCCTCCAACCATCTCCTCGCTGCTGCATTTACCACCCAAGCTTCACACCCATATAAGAGTGTTGGTACTACTGTACTTTCATACATTCCCTTCTTTGCCTCCATAGATAACATTTTTTGACTCCACATATACCTCAACGCACCACTCACCTTTTTTCCCTCATCAATTCTATGATTGACCTCATCCTTCATAAATCCATCCGCCGACACGTCAACTCCCAAGTATCTGAAAACATTCACTTCTTCCATACTCCTCCTCCCCAATTTGATATCCAATTTTTCTTTATCTAAATCATTTGATACCCTCATCACCTTACTCTTTTCTATGTTCACTTTCAACTTTCTACCTTTACACACACTCCCAAACTCATCCACTAACCTTTGCAATTTTTCTTTAGAATCTCCCATAAGCACAGTATCATCAGCAAAAGGTAACTGTGTCAATTCCCATTTTGAATTTGATTCCCCAAAATTTAATCCCACCCCTCTCCCGAACACCCTAGCATTTACTTCCTTTACAACCCCATCTATAAATATATTAAATATAAATATAAATATATTGAAACCTTCATACATGCATGAAATGAACATAAGTATGAATGCATTTGGTAAAAACTAATTGAGAAAAATAATATGTGGACTTGGCAAAGTCTGAGAATGAATCTCTATCCATTACATGTTATAATGGGTTCACTACATGTGATTTCGCTTAATGCTCTATCAGCCAGGAACACATCTACAGCATAAAGTGAGGGACACCTGTATTTTGTAAGTGGAGGATAAATCTCAATTACCATTATAAACAAAACTTTCACATTATTGTTTAAGTTTGGTGTTGGTGTATATCATACTTAGTTTAACCCATTCAGGGTCGGCAGGCCCTCTCCTAAACTTGTTCTCAGGGTTGGAAAAAAAAAAAAATCAACTATCCAATAAAGTTTTCAAAAATTGGCAATTTTGCCAATTTCACACAAATTTCAAAAGATGCCAATTTTCAAATAGGGTCCACAATAAACAAGACAGACATTCCTGGCACTAAAATAACATTTCCTCTGTTCATTAGTCATGTCCCCAGGCCTCTGTTACATTACATTTGCTTTCCACTTTGAATTTTTATTCTCACAAAAAATACAGTGGACCCCCGCCTTATGATATTAATCCATTCCTGAGAGCTCATCGTAAGCCAAAATTATCGTAAGGCGAATTAATTTTCCCCATTAGAAATAATGAAAATCAAATTAATCCGTGCAAGTCACCCCAAAATATGAAAAAAAAAAAATTTTTACCACATGAAATATTAATTTTAATACACACAAACTGAAGAAGACATGCACAATTACTACTCTACTAAGAACAGAATACATGACACTTACCTTTATTGAAGATGTGGTGATGATTTGATGGGATAGGAGGGGAGTGTGTGGAAGTTATTGTTTAGAAGGGGAATCCCCTTCAATTAGGACTTGAAGTAGCAAGTCCTTTTCCGGGGTTACTTCCCTTCTTCTTTTAATGCCACTAGGACCAGCTTGAGAGTCACTGGACCTCTGTCTCACAACAAATCTGTCCATAGAGCTCTGTACCTCCCGTTCCTTTAAGATTTGCCTAAAATGGGCCACAACATTGTCATTGTAACAGTCACCAGCACGGCTTGCATAGGCTGTGTTAGGGTGATTTTCATCCATAAAGGTTTGCACTTCAACCCACTTTGCACATATTTCCTTAATCTTTGAAGTAGGCACAATGGATTCCACAACTGGCATAGGCTTCTGAGGGTTAGCCTCAAACCCTTCAATATCTTTCTTAATTTCCATACTAATTCTCACCCTTTTTACCACAGGGTTGGCACTAGAAGCTTTCTTGGGGCCCAAGGTGACTTATTTTGCAGTTACAAGCAAAAAAACACTGGGATAAGGTGAAATGTACAGAATGTATGCATGGATGCGACTGCACTGGCTGGCTTGTAAACACTGGCGCTGAGGCCACACGTGGGACGCGTCCCGGACAAATCACGTAAGGCAAGTTTTTTATCTTGAGGCGAGGCAAAATTTTTGCGTTCAAATGCTTCGTATGGCAGATTTAACGTAATGCGATGCGTTTGTAAGGCGGGGGTCCACTGTAGAAGATTTACTGTTATGCAGACTGCTGCATTAGTGTATAAATGGTTTAGAAATGGTATAAATAATATCAGCGCACTTCTGAAAGAATATTAGACTCACCAGTTGACGTGTATTGGACGCATGGCATGATTTGTTTAACCTTTGAACTTTGTGAAAAATCGAACATTTCTGCTACTTTGAGCTCAATTTCAAGGTACTTTTCATTGTGAAACCAATCAAAATCATCTCAATTTCTGTAATATGTCTTCCATTCTATAAAATGAGACCAGGAAAACTAGAATACAACCATAAATATCATACGAAAATACACTGCAAAGTCACTGTTTTAAACCAAAAACACGGTCGGAGTTTTTTTTTCTCATTATGCACTGTGTGCTGCAGGATTTTTTTTATACTGCGCACACTGACCACAGACCCATTCTTTCATATGTAGGCCTACCAGCTTTCTCTCACTAGATTTGAAGGAGCTAGAATTTATGAGTACTAGTACGGCAACAACCCTGGCGTGCAAGCCGTACTAGTATGGCACCAACCCTGAAAGGGTTAAGAGACCCTCATTTTTCTAGCTTACAATAAGCAGGTTTAAATTTCACTGAGGAAGAGTCAAATACAGTGGACCCCCGGTTAACGATATTTTTTCATTCCAGAAATATGTTCAGGTGCCAGTACTGACCGAATTTGTTCCCATAAGGAATATTGTGAAGTAGATTAGTCCATTTCAGACCCCCAAACATACACGTACAAACGCACTTACATAAATACACTTACATAATTGGTCACATTGGGAGGTGATCGTTAAGCGGGGGTCCACTGTATTAGAATAGCGATTTTTTGGTAAAACTTGCCAAAGTCATGAAAATACTATAAAACAAAAGAAGAGCTTGTAATATGTGGAACATAGTGGAACCTCGGTTTTCGTGTGCCCTAGTTTTCATAGGATTCAGTTATCTACGACTTTTTCGTTGAAATTTTGTCCCAGCTTTCGTACATCCGCATGGTTTTCGTAGTGTTGATAATGGTCCGCCATACCAAATGTGTCCACTGCCCATGCCCACACAATGCATCCTACGCGTTCTGACTCAGTTTGGCTTGGTTTCTTGTTAAGTGAGCATTACTCCGCAGATTCATCTGAAACATTTCTTAATAATCCATTGTTTTTTGTGCTCGTTTACCAAGTGCGACTGCTAAATAAGCCACCATGGGGCCAAAGAAAGTTCCAAGTGCCAGTCCTTTAATAAAGAAGGCGAGAAACACAATAGAATTCAAGAAAGAACTTGTAGCAAAGTATGAAAGTGGTGTAAGCGTGGCCGATCTTGCCAGTAAATATTGCTTCAGTTTTCGTACAATTCGGTTTTCATCACACTTTTTGGAATGAATTAATCACAAAAACTGAGGTTCCACTGTATACCTTAGGTTTTATAATAGAAGCCTGGAAAAATGTAATTCATATTAAAAAGATTAATTTTACAAAAGTTTGTCTTGGAATGCAATTCTCTTAAGGAAGGACTACTCACAATGCAACAAGCTTTTCAAGTTAGAAGGTATTCCTTAAGACAGTCTTAAAATATTGTTTAGATAGCCTTAAAGTATACTTTAACATGAATGCCTTATTTAGCTACCTAGCACAGATTCTATACTCACCCTCTCCTGATTGGAGTATCTGCACCATGTATCTTCTTGTTGCTTTGGATGGATACTGGAACACTAGTTTGCCTTTCTTTTACTTCTTCAGCCTTCATAATGTCTGCCAATGTTTGGGAAAAAGTTGCTGCAGTCGATGTAACAATGGAATCCTGTCTGGTTCCTGGAAAATAAAATTGTGTAGCTGAGTATAGCCAATATGCTACTTCAAATTATCTAACTGGGTAGTAAGACTTCTTAAGCTGTTTTTCTTTGCATAACTCCTTATGCTCACCCATATTAATACCCTTCTTACATATGAACCCTTTATAACATCCTTTTTCTTTATTTTTTCCACAATGTTACTTACCCATCATGTATTTTCTTTGTCATTTATGTATTCAATGTTTCATTATTTATTATCACTTAGTTCTGGATGCTCCTTCCACTTTCTAATTTGTTCTTCTGTTCAATGTAATTACTATTTCAAAGAACTTATGCTCTGTTGAGAATGTTCTCCTATCCTCCTAACTTATATACGTTTTGATTTATGCATGAGGGACCAGCAATGGCTTATGTAGCAAGAAGACTCTCAGTCACACTGCCTTCAGTTGTGTTATATATATACGTATACATGCCCACAATGAACATAAGAAAGAAGGAACACTGCAACAGGCATACTGGCCCATGCAAGGCAGGTCCAAATCTATCAGATTAAGCCAATGCCCTAACCTAGTTAGGTTAGGTCACATTCACTTAAGGGAGGAGCACAGCATCTGACCTAGTAGCACATGCTAGTCAGGTCAAATTCACACCCACCTGCACCTACTCATGTATTTATCAAACTTGTTTTTAAAACTACACAATGTTTTAGCCTCTATAACTGTACTGGGGAGATTGTTGTACTCATTCACAACTCTATTACTAAACCAAAGCTTTCCTATATCCTTCCTGAATCTGAGTTTTTCCAACTTGAAACCTCATCAACAAGACCACTAGATACTGGAGTACCACAGGGAAGTGTCCTTGGTCCCTTGCACTTCTTCTTATACATCAATCATCTTCCTAACACATCACAACACCTTAAACCTATTCTCTTTGCTGATGACATGCCTTATGTCATCTCTCAGCCTAATCTTGCTTCATTCAGCACTACTGTTAATGAAAAGCTTGTAAAAACATGGACCTGGATGACTGCTAATAAACTTACACTAATACTGACAAAAATTTCTACATTCTGTTTGAGAACAGAACAGGTATTGCCCAGCTGAACATAACGATTGACAACACTTATTGCTAAACGTAATGAGGGCTAATTCCTGGGCCTGCACCTTGACAGCAACCTGAAATTTAACACCCCTATCCAACAAATAACAAAAAAAGTATCCAAAACAGTTGGGATCCTCTCCAAGATACATTACGTACCACAATCAGCCCTACTCACACTATACTATTCACTCATCTATCCCTACCTCACCTATGCTATTTGTGCCTGGGGATCAACAGCAGCAACTCGCCTAAAGCCAATAATAACCCAACAGAAAGCCGCAGTAGGAATTATCACACAATCCAATGCTTTACAACATGCCTCCCCCACTCTTCAAAGACCTAAACCTACTCACTGTACAGAACATTCACACCTATTACTGTACAACCTACATTTACAGAACTTTCTTGATAGTTGCAACAGGATCCATAGATCCTCGTGTCCAGCTAAACCTCTACAAAAATTCCATGTACATAAAAAGGCCTAAAATCTGGAGCTCCCTGCCTGACAGCTCTAGAATTGCAGACTCTACCACTATTTTCAAAACTACCATTAAAAAAACATCTTCTCTCCCTAACACACCCCATCATCAGCTAACCAAATGAAAATCACCTAATTCTCTTTTTTTGTATCATGAACACATCCAAAATAACATAGTCTTTCTCTCATTATCTGTAATTCCCCCTAATTTACACTTACACTAACACAAATGACTATAAACATAAAATTCATAATATAGCTATTGCCTATTAAATCTTAAGTTAGTCCTAAGTTTGCCTAAGATACTTTTCAATATAATAATAATACACCTACCATCCGACTTACGACCGAGTTCGGTTCCGACAAACCGGACGTAAGTCGAACTTTACTACTGAATATCAACATCACAGTTTTGTAATGACTTTATTTTATTGTTTTATTTTGGTATTTCATGTTTTACTTTACTTTTTATGCTGTTAGTATTGTATTTTATACTGTAAGATTTAGGATAAACACTGTGTACAACACAAATAGTTGTTTATTTCCCAGAAATTTGGCATAGAAAACACGATCGTAAGTCGAGTGGTCGTAAGTCGAGCAGGTCATAAGTCGGATGGTAGGTGTAATAATATCTTTATTTACTACAAGTACATGTACATGGTACACAGGCCTAGCTGACAACAATGACATGCTACTACAGTGGACCCCCGGTTTACGATATTATTTCATTCCAGAAGTATGTTCAGGTGCCAGTACTGACTGAATTTGTTCCTATAAGGAATATTGTGAAGTAGATTCGTCCATTTCAGACTTCCAAACATACACATACAAACGCACTTACATAAATACACTTACATAATTGGTCGCATTGGGAGCTGATTGTAAACCGGGGGTCCACTGTATATAGAAAGCCCCTTGTTATGCTCCGCATGTTGGGCAAATTAGGTCAGTGTCCCAGGATCCGACCCACACCAGTCGACTAACACCCAGGTACCCATTTTACTGATGGGGAACATAGACAACAAGTGGAAAGAAACACGCTCAATGTTTCTACTCTGGCTGGGAATCGAACCCAGGCCCTCGATGTGTGAAGCGAGAGCGTTAGCCACCAGGTCACCAGAACCTATGAGCTTTAATAGAAACAGTGTATCATGCCAAGACAAATCCAATCCCATTACTAAATTTATCATTTGTAATACTGTTATGTGTTTTATACTACTCACTATTATAAATCTAATTATGTATGTATCTAATAATGTGTGTTAAAATGTACTGCTCCATAACCTATATCAACATTGAGTAAGAATTAGTATTAGTCTGCCCGAAATGCCTAGGCATGCTCATTGCCTTCTTTGTAATTAATATTTTATAACATGTAAAGCACACATTGTAAACTTTACAAGGAAATAAACATTTTCATTTTCAAGTACAATTATCATACGTAGTAACATGTTAATTACCTAGGATAATAAAAAAAAGTCAAAGTGACTTATTTCCATTTTGGTCCTTGTAAACAAAACATTAACCTTGCCAGGATCCTAATGGAAATAAGTCAGAATATGGGCAGAATGAGGAAAATGTGTCACAAATGCTCAGGCAAGGGCAAGACATCTCCACACCACCAAACGCTGGCATAAAGTTTTAGTATATTCTTGGATAACTGGCTGCTGGCCTAAGTAACTTTATTCAGGCACTGGTACACATACATACAATTACAGTGGACCCCCGCATAACGATCACCTCCAAATGCGACCAATTATGTAAGTGTATTTATGTAAGTGCGTTTGTACGTGTATGTTTGGGGGTCTGAAATGGACTAATCTACTTCACAATATTCCTTATGGGAACAAATTCGGTCAGTACTGGCACCTGAACATACTTCTGGAGTGAAAAAATATTGTTAACCGGGAGTCCACTGTACTATACATGTGTAAATTACCCAGGATAACCCCCCAAAAAAAGTCAAGACTTATTTCCATTGAGGCCTAACTTACTGAATAAATATAAAAATATTGTGATCAGTTAAACAGTTGTAGAAATTTAAAAGTGCTGTCAGTAAAAAGATCATCTGGAAACTTAACCTAAATGACTTGACGCTGATGAGCTGCTAAACCCGTAAGGGTCATACTTAACCTACAAAAACTGTTATTTAATAAAAATGCCACCAAGGTCAATAAAATACCTTAGTTCGGATATAATCAAATAATTAAGAGTTAACTGCTTTATTCAACTGAGGCATCTTGGTGTGTGGTAATGTACTTAGTGTACTGGAGGTTACTGGTCCTCACGTGGCGTACTGGAGACTACTGGTCCTCACGTGGTGTACTGGAGGTTATGCTCCATACAGTTTTTTTTCTTAGTTACTTTATTAAATACATTTATCTTTGGTATACCTGTGACATACTAGTGACAGTTTTTAAGGGTTTTCTACCCTCACAGCTCAGCTTCCTTGTTGTTTGCCAGGTCAACCAAGCTGTTACTGTTTGCAACCCACTGGCAAATGTAGCTATCACAGCCTGGCTAATCTTGCATTTTCAGAAGGTAATGTTCTAGTTCCTAGGTAGTAGGTTGGTAGACAGCAACCGCCCAGGGAGGTACTACCGTCCTGCCAAGTAAGTGTAAAACGAAAGCCTGTAATTGTTTTACATGATGGTAGGATTGCTGGTGTCCTTTTTTCTGTCTCATGAACATGCAAGATTTCAGGTATGTCTTGCTACTTCTACTTACACTTAGGTCACACTACACATACATGTACAAGCATATATATACAAACCCCTCTGGGTTTTCTTCTATTTTCTTTCTAGTTCTTATTCTTGTTTATTTCCTCTTATCTCCATGGGGAAGTGGAACAGACTTCTTCCTCTGTAAGCCATGTGTGTTGTAAGAGGCAACTAAAATGCCGGGAGCAAGAGGCTAGTAACCTCTTCTCCTGTATATATTACTAAATATAAAGGAGAAACTTTCGTTTTTCCTTTTGGGCCACCCTGCCTCGGTGGGATACGGCCAGTGTGTTGAAAGAAAGAAAGAAATGTTCTAGTTACCTCTTGAAAATTTCTTTGTTCCAGCAATATTTCTGGTATCTGCGGGTAGCAGGTTGAGGTCTTGTTACATGGTCATTTGGTGTAGATGTGGTTGGTTTCTAATCAGATGGTACAGTTTGGTTAAGAAATGTAGATTCTGATATTACAATACTGCACTGTGTTTGGAATTTTTCTGAATTTTGTATTTTATTTTCCTGTTTTTGGATACAATATGTTGATGTATGTTATGAAAATACAGTGGTACCTCGGGATACGAACAGCTCAAAACTCAAACAGTTATGTAAGTGCTTTTTTAAGTGTATTTTTGGGGGTCTGAAACGGATAAATCTAATTTACATTATTCCTTATGGGAACAAATTTGTTCGGTATCAGCACTCGAACAGCCTTCTGGAACGA